ATGTAATAGTTTGTGATGGTGGTAGATAATATATATATATACGGTTAAATCTTAAATAGAAGTAGTGAATGATTAGTGGATGTTACTTGTTAGATAAGATGGGTACCAAATCGTGCAATATGTAATCCTATCATAGCTTTTTTTTAATTATCTAAAATGATTACAATACTTAAATTATTTACGTTAATGTAACTCGATTTAACTGAGTAAAAATTTATTCAGCAAAATAAGTAAATTCTACTTAAGATGCCGTAGGTAATATTTACTCAATAAAAATAAGGCAATTCTTTTCCTCAATTTTATTGAGTTATTTCGACTATTATTTTTTTACAGTGTACGTTCATTTATACCTTGCAAAACGTATTTATATGATATAACCTCCTTATATCTTGCAATAACTCAATTATTGTAGTCTTGTTTGAGCAGGAACCAGTTTGAATAATTGAAAATGTTTATATCTATTACAAAAGAAGGCTGTTTGACTTTTCACTAATTCCCAATATCTTGCCCCGGCCACACCACGTCGCCATTTAAGGAATTAAATACCTTAACATTTGTTCATAATGTTAAATTAGAATTGACACTGTTATGGTCAAACACGTCAACGCATTTAATACTACCTGCAATTTAGGAAACTTATCTTGCAATAGCATGTTAAATCATTTATTTTATACACAATGTAAACATACTATTTTCTTGCCACACTGTCGTTAAAATTTAACATAATGTAAATATGTAGTTTATAAATGTATTTAAAATGTAAATAATATCTTATTTCATAATCAGACACTCCAGAAATGCCTTTGAGTCTAAGTTTGAACAAACCCCGATAACTATGTACTAGCTTCACATTTCGACTTTTTTATTTTAAAAATCCGTATTTGACAATATATATGAATCTTTTCTTTCTGTGCTTCGTAAATTTGTGTATTGTTTGTATTCTGGATTTGCCGTTTTCATTACGATGATTGTAAGGGGAATCGCTGTGTTTTATTGTAAGCCACTGGCTTTTTAAAGAAATTTCCCAGGCAAATGTTATTATGTATTATTATATCTTTGTATTGTATGAAATTGATGAATTGAACTGAACTAAGCTGAACTGAAACTACTAATAACATTAAAAATAAACTATGTGATAAGTTCGCACTAAATCACTTTCATGCTCTCCAGATATTTTCTAGCAACCTTAAATTATCACCTCAAGATATCTCAGTTTTCCTTTTAAATACAGAAGATGTGAAATAACTGCGCAGAAATGAATATTTGCTAATCATATAGAACAAACTAAGGACATATAGGATTAAAGTCTTTTGAATTGACACATACTGCTACATTATCATGATAATGATATTTTTAAGGAGACACTAAACAGGGAAGTACGAAGAACAGTAATCATCATAGGGTGATTTGTTAGTTTCATGTCATGTCAAGGTTCTTAAACCCGGTGACTACAACACTCTCTGATTCCAATAGACGTAAATCCGTGAACTACGAAATTCCGGTGAGCAGAAGGTTAACTGGCTGCATCAACATGGTCAGGGAAATCAATATTCCTCTTCCTTAACTCTAGAGGAAATAAAAATCAAAAGAAATTATTCAATTAGTCTCTCCCGAGACTATCCTCTCAACATGCATTCTTTTATCACACTATCTCAACTTTAACATTTCAGGAAAGTTGTTTTCCCTGGATTAAAATCACATTACTAAAGTGTCAATATCATTTTAAAGTATAGTCCTAAATGGCAGGATTATTGCCCGCTTTGCCTTCCAGTTCAAATATTTTACATACATCCACGCTTTTTAGGGCCTGTGTATTATCGAAAAACTAAAATCGAAAGATAAAAGTCTAATTATATCACTGAACAATGTAATAAATCTATCAATAAATTCTTTGGAGAGTAATTGTAAAGCAATCACGGAATACCGTAAGGTTGTAGAAAACCTAAAATATTTTTTTTAATTAGAAATGATAGGATTTCATATACCTTCTTCAATGATTTCAGCACAAAGACCCATGTCATTCTCCCGGAATATAAGCCGCAGTTTCAGCGCGCTCGTTCTATCTGTGCCATGCTTGTTAACAAATTGATGAAGTAAGCTCTCGTACGCCGACTGAGGATTGAGTTGAAGAAAACTCGCAATTTGAGCGTTGTTACCCTGCGTAGCATTGAACCCCAGATAAACGCTTAGCTGTGCTGGGGTGATGCCGTTAATTTCTGAGGATATCTGTATCAATAGCCCGTCATTTAGAATGTTTTCATCCATGAAACCCGCCATTGCTTCCTATTTCAGTGGATGGGGTAAAAAAAGAAATAAAAAAAAACACATTCTAGCCAGAATTTTTCCATCTGAATACGTTTTTAAAATTATAGAACAACACTGTACTGTGCAATCGTTGAGGAAAAACTCAAATCTGATATGTTCGTTGAATGACGAAGGGAAAGATAACATCGTCATACACAACGGTGATATCATTAACCGTAGTACACTTACATTTAAGGAAAAGAATATCCTCTGTTTTAAAAAAATCAAGCGCTATTTAATATATGATATTAAGGATGGTATAAAAATTATGAAAAAGTGTTGAAAATTGTCAGCAAAGTTGATATAAAATATGTATTTATGCAGGCAATATAACATGCCACTTGATAATGTAACATGACCAATAAAAACAAAACTATGTATAAAATGACGTCAGTTTCTATTTCTAATGGGGATATTGTTTGTTCTTGATAAATACTCCAGATAACAGTGCAATGGAACACAGCAAAGCATGGAGTAGAATCTTTTTATTGTTAAAAAGCAATTGATCAATGCCCTTTTGTGTGGTGTTTGCTCATCGGAGCAGATGTGCGTGGGTCATGGGGAATTCCACATTCTGGATGACGCGAAATTGCTCTGTCTTAACTTAAGGCTATTAGTTCGAATAGGCTATCATAATCAGCGAATTCATTTGCTTTAATTAATAAACTATTACGATGTGATGCACTTCGGTCTGTAGTCATAATCAATCCGCGCATTTTCATAATTTTCATCGCCCTGATTTGACATCAATGACCATTTTTTTAAAGGGGGATGACGGCTCTAAGTGTTTAGCAATTCTTCCTCTACTCACACATAATCATTGAATCATAAGACTGTATTACCTCCATCAGTATGATAACATTGCCATCGACATGAGAACAGTTAAGTTTGAGCTAAATTTCATGAGCACGGGAACTTATTTCATCGCTGTCGTTGTTCACGGTATTTTATATTCACAGGAGGAATATCTGCTTTGGAACGATTGCTTTGAGGTGATCTATAATATAGGCATTGTATAGGCATTGCAATTCACAATAATTCCGGGGATTCCCCATGCCGTAGATAACAAGGTCTTTTGGCGCCATTTTACGCTACTCTAATCACTTTGTTTCTCTCCGTCTGCCCAGCTGCCATTTTCCAGAGACATGTCTGAATAGAGTTCAGGGTACAGTAAGGAGATAAATGCTGTTTAGACTTTAAATCTGGACAGCATTTATCTACGCATTTATGATGGAATCCTGTACCTTGAACTGTGCTATGTATATGTACATTATAGTTAAAAAGATAGAAATCAAATTATTTGGAAAGATCAATGTGAAATTTCAATGAGGAATTTGAAGGCAACCAATGTAGATTTTTACAACATGTGCCCCTTTTTTCCGACGTGACATTACCAGTGGCAAAGAACTTCTAATGGGCAATTATTACTTGGTGTTGAAAAACCTATGTTCAGGGGATATAGGCCCCTGGCAATTTCTTAATCGGTCTGAACAATATATTTAAGGCTAAGATATGAATGGCTTGTTGATTTCTTTGAAGATAAACCAAGATATTTTATCATTTTGTCACATTAATTATAGAAACCATGATAACGCATCTTTCAAGTTATTTCTCTCTCTCTCTCTTTCTCTTTCTTACCCCACTTTTCCCTCTGTTTCTTTCCCTCTTTCTCTAATTTCTCTATCTCTCTCTCTCTCTCTTGTTTTTCTTTCCCTCTCTTTGCCTTTCGTTCTTTATACCTATCTCTCTCTCTCTTCCTTTTGTCTCCCCATTTCCCCTTTCTTTCTTTCATTCTCTTTCTCCCTTAAATTTTGTATCTCTATTCACATTAGCAGAAATTATCAATTTCAAACATTATTTGAATGCATTACTGTTGATCAGAACATCGTCCTTGGCAAGTAGAGAAGTTGCAAAACAATTATAACGTATTTTCAACCGTTAAAGTTTGAGCGGCGTTTTTATATGAACCCTACTTTTAAAAAATTGTGTGACGCTCATTGTTATGTTGGTGTGAACGTCTGCTATGGAAATATGAGAGATAATACAAACAAAAAGTCATTGTAAAAGTATCGGGGGATTTTCGAAATGGGTCCAAAGTTTTTTTTCAAATTTGAAATTTTGAATATAACACTCACTGTTGCTTGTGAATCGAACTTGGGGGGTCTACACAAATCAATGGCTGATTTGATACAGTCCTGCATGGCACAGAACAGTCTATGGCTCAAATTATCGTGGATTAAATCACATTTTAAGAGAAATGTAATAGCTTTTTAACATACCATATATCAAATCCGGCGTCTTTCTTGGTTCTCGAATTGAAATATGGTAGTATGTGCTTAATTCATTGATTACTCGTATTACAGCAACCTAATAGAATAGGCTTAGAACCAGGCGGATGTAGGTCCTATATTTTTTATAAAGAGTTATCACCCTTCTGGCATTCAACAGACATCATGCTATTTATGCGAATAACATTTAACACAGGGCGCATACTGATAACTTGTATATTATCGATTTTGATTTTTGTATGTTATAACAATGACAAGCTTTCTACTTGAATATGAATTATGATAAAAGGCTAAATGCATAAAACAGTTCGCAATGGGGAAAACGCCCATTAGAAAATTTTAATTTCCCTCGATTACTTAATTATTTAGTTTTTAATTTCTTGAACGCTGAGCAAATTTAAGACTTACCCAGATGCAGAATGATGTAAACTGCGGAAATAAGCGAGAAAGACACCTTATGATAGCAGAATACGAGAAATGTTCTGAAGTCTTGTTACCAGATCGTTCACTGTGTAAAGAAAATGGCGCCAACGTATAGTGCATATAGCTCCGGTAGTCGCATTTTCGCTCGCTAGATCTGCTACAGCGCATTGGTAGCTCAGTGGGCGTTACTTCTAAACTAGCCAATCAGCTGGCAATGACGTCATATTGTATGCGGCGGCAAATATATTTTGTTGAATTATCGAGAAAAAAGTACTATTTCTACTCGCAAACTAGTTTTCTTTTTAAATGAGAATGCAACAAATTATGATCTAGAAATGTATTGAAGTCCTAAGGATAGGATAAGTTACATCTTATATTATTCACGAGATGCATTTTGCAGATAGTAAATTCTCCATCTCTTAGAATGTTCCACTGCGTTGCAGGGGGTATGTCATTTGTTGTGATGTGTTTACGAGCAATGGCGCGGAATACATTTTTTGGGGATACAGTCACACATATTTCATATTTTAATGTCACATTGAAACAATGATCTTTATCCAAAAAAATTGGACGCTATTATAGGTCAAATATAATTGCAGAAGCGATGAATGAACGGAAACACAGACACTGCGCCACCAATACTAAAAGCCTAGATTCTGCAGACTGCATGAGACTGATGATGTAGACAGGAGCACGCCTCGTTACAGTGCTTATTTAGAATCCACACAGAAGAAGGCGTAGATAGGAGAACTGTTTCATGTCACGATGAGGTTACCATGGTCACATTCATCATATATAGGTATTATTATGATAATCCTTACTTACACACAATATTTACACACGCACAATATTTGAAAAAGCTTACATTGCCCTTTTTTCCCTCCTATTCCAAAGAAGAGACATCAGGCATGTCAAGTGCCCCAATTTATTATAAAAAATTAACAAATATCGTCTGATTTTCGTCCTGTTGAGAAGGGTGAAACTGATCGTCAGAGTTTCAATTTCTTTTTTGATCACCTTCCCCCCCCCCCCCAAAAAAAAAAAAAATCCTATAAATTATCAATAATTCATTGCATACTTCATTGCATTTTGCCCCGATCCCCAACATTGAACCATCCTCTATGTGGGCATGCCTTGAACCATAATGCTTGGCCCTACAGAGGAGTTTTTCCTGTTGGGGACCGGGGGGGGGGGGAAGGAATGAATTATTGATAATTTATTGCATTTTCATTGTTTTTTTGTATTTGTGTATCTGAGAATGTATACTATAATTATTTAGATTTATTAGGAACAAATCATTGTCAAAATCATTCTATAAATTGGGGTAAAAATACTTATTCCACCTTCATGACCAACAGTGTATATGTATTTAAAATGAATAAATAAATACAATTTAAAATTAAAGTTAACTACTTTTGTGATCTGCCGACAAGCTTGACAAATGGTGGGTACCTGAAGAAATTTATAATAATGGAATTGCATCCCACCCCTTAAGCAATGACCATTCGAATTACATCTTAAGTAATTAAAGACTGCTAGGGGTAGATATGCACATGGTCCTTTAACACAATTATTAGGCAGGAGTGTATCTAGCCCTAAATGGACCTCAACAACGCCCATCCTAAAGATTAACTACAAAGAAGAAACAAGGGTAATATTTGTTCCCGTAATTTTTTATTTGTATTATATTCAATATATAAACAATACAAATAATTTTTCTTTTTCATCATATTTTGTGATAAGCGCTATACAAATGTTGTTAATTATTATTATTATTATAATAACATTACTTAAATAACTCAATACATGTACGATTTATAAAAAACGATCGAAAAAATTGATTGAAATCAGTTATAATATAAAAACGAATCAAACCCCCTCCCTTACTACCTAATCTCAAACAAAACCACTACCATTTGCAACTCACTCATCCTCACACATGCACACTCACATATACGTGTACGCACCACAATAACATAAAGTCACAGGCAAAGAACACCCTCTCACACCCCCAACAACCCCCACCCCCACCCACCCACACACACACACACCATACACAGCAAGGTAATACCTGCTCACATTCATATTCACTTCTAATTCGTCTCATTTTAGCTCTTACAAAAAGTTCGCTAACTTCTTCACCCGTATATTTGTTATATATAACACCACCCCCCCCCCCCACACACACACACACACACTCTCAAACACACATACGCACACATTTTTTGTTAACCATATTATTTCATTAGAGATTTCATTCAAAATAGATAATTACATACACATCAATGTAAATAATTCCATACAAATACAAATTTTAATTTCGTTTTCATACCACAAATACATTCATATTCATACATAAAAATACTAGATGACAAGCATTAATAGTTATTGCTTCAAACAGTTTCAAATTTATGTAGACAATTTTCACCCTGTAATACCGTGTGACTAATGAGTAAACAAGCATTGCGATTAGCTAAGTGGTATTGGATTTCAAGACATCGTGTTATCTTTTTTCTTTTTTCAATCATTAGATTTGGAAAGCAAAACTAATGAAGTTATCTGCACTATGTTAAAAAAAAGTAATTAAAAAATAACAAAGGTATGGACGTTCATGTTTCCATTTCCTCGTCAGGCTTGTAAGCTGGATCCTTACATACTTCCTTCGTCTTTGCACCGGTTTTAGTCCCACCAGCGGCCTCTGCTACCTCACCTACAGTTCATAAATAATGTATAGAATATTTAGAAAATTATTAAAAGGTATTACTAAAGGCAATAAGGTTGTTTTTTAGAAGCAAATTTTTTAAAGCAAATTCCGATCAAAAATAAGAAAGTTATGTACTTTTGAAGTTGCGATCAACCCTAATTGGCAACTCTGTGACATATCTTGTGAGGGCCCTTCCCATTTGATCTGTACTAACAAACACAAAACATTTTTCCTCAAGAACTCCGTTTTGCTAAACTATTGATGATAAGATAAATTAGCTATTACATTCCCTGATAAGGCATTTTGTTCCCTCATTGCACATATTGCCAACCACGTTGTGCAATGGACTGTGCGTAGCCTATGTAATCACTGCTGCTGATAGCGACAGATCCCCTTTTTGTGATAGTGGAAAGTTGTGGTTGTTTCATAAAGCTTGTGAGAAAAATAGAACATTTTGAATATGATTACCAGGTATGCCGCAAGGAGGGGACGGGAGGGGTACAGATGTGTCCACGAGTGTTTCTGCGTCTGACGGGACAGGAATTTTAAACTTCTCTAATTCTGGAGACAGAAAGCAAAAATATTTGTAATGGGTTAAGAACAAAATACTGATTTTCTTTCTCTCCCGTCTCTCTCTCTCGAAATATAATTTCTTTCCTTTCGCTCTCCGCTTTCGCCCCTCTCATTATTTCTCTGTCTCTCCCTCTCTCTCTCTCTCTTTCTCTTTCCTCCATTTTCTTTTAGGGTACATATTCTTTTGTAACATTGTGTTACGATAACAATACAGGTTTAAAAATATTAATTATAAAAAAAATAAAAAGATAATAATTCTTTTAAGAAAACTGTATGATAATCAGTTGCGTAGCTACAAGGGGGACGCGGGCAAGTGTCCCTCAATCTAATAGCAAAAATAATGAGAGGGAGGGAAGATATGATGGAAAAGTGGAAACACGTGAAATAGTACGATAATTTAAGGATATAGATAAGTCTTAATTGAAATTTATTGTAAGAGGTGCATTATATGATAATTGAAAAATGCGTTGAATTGATCTGATCTGCGTTTTTGATGTATCGTACAGCAGAAGAGATAAATAAATAAGGGAATAGAGACAGAGTAAAACTATATGTGTCCGTTTCACTTTAAAATGCAATTTAATCGTCATGATTCGAGCAGTATGGTGCCTGAAAATAAACTTATACATTGTTTATTTCTTCTCAATCTAAATGTAGTTTATACCACGTCAAAGTTTCTTCTCCCCCCCCCCCCCCCCCCGCCCCCCGTTTGCTTTACTACTCCCAAAATGTATAAATCAGGATGGTTCCTGGAAAGATAGGACTGAATATAAAATTTACATTTTATCTGGTGTAAGAAATATAATTTTTGCAATAATAAAAGTGTCATTGTTACGCTCGCAAGCAATATCTGTGATCCGGAATGTGTGACTTCGGGCAAGACGTCCTCACTTGAGAATTAGTTTTCATCTCTAAATTGCACACATTTTCAAATCATGTACTTTGTTGATTCTCGTCGGGAAATGTATACAGGAGAATGACTCCCTAGACTCTTTTTCGAGTTTTGTGTAGGAAAATATTTCTGCAAAATGGGTCTGGCCTCTGTATACCTTTTACATAATACTTTACAGTGATTTTATGTCATAGCCTCTGAATAAGCAGTATGCATGAAAATAATAATTTAGGAAAAAAATAAAGAGTGAAGATCTTATTACCAGTTAATTAATATAATGTTGGAGGCCGGATGTTGATTTGTTATTTTTTCAAGAGTTCTGTCACATCTTGACCAGTGTGATGACAATTGATTAAATGAAATGTAAAATTGGCTTTGTTTTTAGCTCAGTAATTTGCTATCATCACTATGTGGTTGTTTCCGTTATAAACTAACATACTAAAAAGAATAATCTACAAACCTGCTTTGACGAAATCAGCGCAGGGCTTCATCTCTCCACTCTCTAGAAAGATCTGTCTCAGTTGCAGAGCACTTTCGCTCTTCCGTCCATGCTTCATAACATACTTGGAGAGGAGTTTGTCGAATGCGCCATGTTGATACATGGTGAGATTGGCCCCTATCGCTGCGGCATTGCCCTCAGCTTTGGTAAATCCCAGGTCTACGCTAAAGTTTTCTGGGCGGACAATCGCAGGATCAATCAGTTTTGACAATTTCTGCACAATTTTGTCAGTCAAAATGTCTGCCATCACAACTTGCGAAGTACTGACGCTAGAAAAGAAATATGCATATTTAAAATGTAATAATAGAATAGGGTTATGATTTTAATAAACGCATGAATGGATACAATTTCACTCTAACATATCATTATATTTAGAACAAAAAGGGCTGAAGTTCACTGCGGTGACATTCGCAACATATCAGGTTTGACAATCTCACCAGAAATAAGTCAGTCAAAATGTCATTCAAAATGTCCTCAATCACAAATCTCGAAATACTGACGCTAGAAAAAAAAAATTGTAATTGTAATAATAGAATGACGTTATACATTTATCATTATGTTTATAACAAAAAGAGCAATAACTAATATAATTAAACACAGAGTTAACACCCAATTGTTATAATGCTGTGAAAATCATTTGCTAGAATATGTCTGACATAGCAACAGCTACTGTGATTTGCAATGTGGTATTTTGTGAAATCTATTTGGAGCAAGGGTTTTAAGGCATGGTCATAATAATCAGCGCCTATTGTAGGATGTGGTGGCGCAACCGCTCCAGCTTTACTGAATAATAGAATTATGCTTAATTCATCTGCAGGGTGTGATTCCACAGGAAACACTGTCAGATTCGGTCGGGTCTGGAATCTAGTTGATTCTTAGGGGCAGCGATTGCACAATCGGGGAAATGATTTTTAATAAATGAATTCATAAAGACCGGATTGGAAGGGATTGACAAAATAAACGAACTAAGCTTGATGCACCCTTTCTCGAGTGTATGCTCTTGCTCAGAATCGCCACCAACGTAGCTTATGGGCGATGTGACCCAGCCCCTCACCCCTCCCCTTCCCCTCCCCTTCCCCTTTCCTCATTCTCTCTCTCTCTATCTCTCTCTTTCTATCTCTCTCTTTCTCTCTCTCTCTCTATCTCTCTCTCTCATACACACACTCTTTCTCGCCATAATGCTTGGGGGGGGGGGTTGGTAAGTGTATAAAGTACAGCCCACTGCTAACTATGCCATCCGTCCACGATCCGATTTTGGAAGAATTTCGCAAAATTATTGAATATGAATCCAAGCCTTGATAATCTTCTTGATTGAGGTTCCAATCATCACGTGCTTTAAGTGTGGTCTTCAAGTCAGAGGGGAAACAATTAGCTACACATCAGTGTGAGTCTTGCCACTGCAGTGCACTAGTCTGTGGTCATTATGATTGCTTCTTCTCAATTTCGATCCTGCTATCAACATGACTTTGGAAAGGATTTTATCTCTTCAGATTTTCGTACCTAAAGCTATTGTAAATATTGACTTGACAATGTATTGATAAACTAATATTTTATGTATTTTGCCCCGACAACCGTGATATGAGTGTGCCATTTATAGATCTTGTTCATTTCAACATTTGTGAATAGGGGAACTTTTTTCTAAAAGTATAATAGCTAAAGATACTACAACAGCATAATATACTTTGTTGTAGACCATTCACGAGCGGCTGCTTTGATGTGTTTACTATCATCAATATCATAATAAAACCCCAGTTTCTTTTGAAAGAAAATATCAAAGTCAGGCAACTTCAATAGTCGTGTCCTTCACCTTTTCATATATCCGAATATTACTATGGGAAATTACGTTATCCGATCATGGTTTTATTGGCAGTGCTGTATAGCATTGGGCCTTACCTTGAGTTGATTTCTTAAGAGTAATTTGTAATCGTGTTATACCTTGTTGAAAAATTTATGTTTTCAATATTTTCCCGAATTGACGTCCCCATCATAAATGTTTAAGCTAACCAACTGTTTTATGTTGAATTTTTAGTAAGTAATCATTTAGAAAAAATATTTAAAACAATTATGCAAATAACTAATATTACAAAATATGGTAAGCTGGGAAGATAATCACAAAGGATTTCTAGAAATCAACCTGAGGTGAATTAAGTAGCCCTGTCTATCACCTTTGTAATCCGTATGCTCACTACATCGCACCCTTCAATGTCTGGGGCAGACATTTCTTCCAGGTTCCAGTATAATGCGTTATCAATATACTTTTAATACAAAATATATTGATATTGCAATTTTCCTCTAAAATCATCAGTTCATATACAACAACAAATCTTTACCATTTTATCCTTTCTGTGAAACGTATTTTACTTTGTTTATTAGGTTAGAACCGTACATGATGCCATGGTTTTGCGGGACCGCCGATCATTAGAGCTGTCGTTCTCGTGCTCTGTAAGTCTCGTGGGCAATATTTAGCAATCGAACCGAGTAGCAAACTGGTTGCATAGAAAAAAACTATCCGAGCAAAACTGGCGTAATACTTCCAAATATGTTGTTGATGAAATAAACAATAATATATAGTATACGCTTTGCCGTGCAACACTTCTAGCAAACACACACACTTCTGAATACGTCCCGAGCATAATAAAAACGTGCATATGAAACGTTAACTTGCTCGCTAACTACGATTTTTTTTCAGGCTCATGTCAATGTAAATTGATACAAAAATTTCCTGTCTACATGTATTTTAAATGACTCCTGCCTAAATTGTAGAGTAATAATCTATAAACAAACAAATCACATACTCACAATAAGTTAAACAAGAATGTTGAAAATGTCAGCAAAGCTGTTAAGCGTGTAGACGATTTGCTATTCGGACTCTGTATGACATCTGGAAGTATTGCTTATTGACTTGTATTGATATACTAATATTCAATGTACTTTGACCCAATAATAACTAACCTTGATATCAGTGTGCCATTATAAATGTTGTTTATTCAAATATTTGTGAAAAGGGGATTTTTCACTATAGTATAATAGCACAAACAATCTACAAGAACACAATAGACATTGTTGTATACCGTGCTTGAGTGGCTGCTTTGATGTGTTTGCTATCATCAATAGCTCAATACAGAACAATCATGTGGGAAATCCCGCGTTGGTTTTTGGCGCCAAATAGATAATGAAGATAAAATGGTCCCTATTCACCGTGAGCGCAGATCTCGTTTTACGGTTCATAACAAAGCAATGATAATAGAATCAAATTTTCTCTTTTTTAAGGTTTTTTATACGTGATTTCTGTGACCTCTCATGTTTTAGTCGAGAAATGTTGAAAAACACCAATTTGCTAACTAGGTATATCACGATTCAAAAGACTTTAAAAAAAATAAACTGAAGTGAAGTCCCAATGCTTTACAGCACTGCCCATAAAAACCATGATCGGATAACGTAATTTCTTATTGTAATGTTCGCATATAATATGAAAAGAGGAAGGATAGGGCTATTTAAGTTGCCTTACTTTGATTTTGATTTTTCTCAAACGTCTTTGTAATAAACAAGAATGGAGCAAAACATTAATGACGAGAGTTCTCTTCAATAAAAAAAAAACTTCAAATTGTAGAAAATATAAAGCTTTGAAACAAAAACTGTTTGATTTAATATTTCGCCTGGTTTTTAATCTCAACCAAATGTTCCCTTTTTATGATGAAACAAATAGGGATGAACTGCAATACATAACATTTATTTGAATATACGTAAGTATTTACAGTCATCGTTAATAATCTACTCTCGCAGAAAGTGTGGTTTATAATTAAATAAAAAAGAATAATTTCCGAGACATTGGTTAAGTATACATGGATCAATCGAAAAATATTACTGACATAAACGTGATTTCAACACACAACAGATGACAATGAAAGCACATTATATACACAATGAACGGGTAAGAAAATACAAACAAAATTACAAATAGACATTTATATTATGAAATTAAAATGAGCTATTAAATTTTATGAATTTCTTACATAATAACAGAGAAAGGCCAACGCTTTAGATACAATACTTTCAATATTGTTTTAGGAAACAGGTGAATCTGAGGAATATTTGTATTTGTATTTGAATATTTGTGAACGATTCACAAATAGGGAAAAAAGAAGGAGATTTCTCCAATAAGAAACACCCATTATTAGTATTTCAACATTTGTGAATGGTGGATTTTTTTCGTCTAAAGTATAATAGCGAATGTTTATATAAAATCATATAATACACTTGCTATCATCAATAGCTGAATACAGAGAAATCATGTGGGAAGCCCCGAATTATGTATGACGCCAACTGGATATTGAATATAAAATGGTCCCGATTCATCTTCAGCACAGATAATATCATACAGTTCATAATGAAGTATTAGTAATAGATATATCTGTTCCTTTTTTTCAAGTTGTATACGTGATCTCTGTGACCTCTCATGTTATAGTAATCTGCCAAAAATGTATAAAACGATTGCGAATGACTTTCAGGAATCAACTCAATTGTTGTCCCAATGCCATACTGCACTGTCCATAAAAAAACATGACCAATAATATTAAAGCAATCTAATTAATCATAGAAACAGTTATGACTATCAATTTGTGAACGATTAGAATGAATCGATTACTTAAAATTCATTGATTTAATTTCCCTTCAATATCACCTATTCATGCATTTGTTCATGTGTTCATTTGACTCAATATAAATTTAACCCTTTATGAAAATCACGAAAAATATATATCGGTTGCAATGCACATACAAATCGGCTACCCTGTATAAATATCAAACCCCCCAAAAAATACAGATTGAATTACAACGGGTTTCATTATTCAATTTCAGTATTATACAAACAATGGTATTATTAATCAAACGACTCTGAAATTCGAAAATACATGCGTGCACAACGTATTTTACAATCGTCCCCAGGTTTAAACGAGATCATTTTTTTAATATGTGTTTTGTTACATGTTTCTGATTGGCTGAACACCAAAAGGTTAACAATTAGTATGAATTTAACAAAATGTATGATATTTCGTTCAGCCAAAATACCTGACACTATCTAAACATCAATTAAAAGGAACAATATTTTAAATTGAAAAGTTTCATAGCATAAATTTCCATAATCGACGAAAGTCCAAATTGGACAGAACATGTTAACATTGTTCATGGAAAAATAAGTATGTTTATCGGCATAATGTCTAGGCTACGATCAGTTATACCTTGCAAAAATGTATTTATGTTATATTATCCCTTTATATATCTTCCAACATCTCAATTATTGTAGTCTTGTTTGAGCAGGAACCAGTTCAAACAATCGAAAGTGTTTATATCTATTACAAAAGAAAGCTGTTTGACTTTTCACTTATTCCCACTAACTTGCCCACACCACGTCGCCATTTAAGGAATTAAATACCTTAAAATGTGTTGATAATGTTAAATTAGAATTGACACTTGTTATTGTCGAACACGTCAACGCATTTACTACTAATACCTTCGATTGAAGAAACTTATTTTGCAATAGCATGTTACATCGTTTATTTTATACACATTGTAAACATACTATTTTCTTGCCATACTGTCGTTTAAATTTAACATAATGTAAATCTGTAGTTTATAAATGTATTTAAAATGTAAATAATATCTTATTTTAAAATCAGACACTCCAGAAATACCTTTGAGTCTAAGTTTGAACATACCCTAATAAATATGTACTAGCGTTACATTTCGATTTTTTTTTAAATTTAAAAAATCCGTATTTTACAAAATATATGAATATTTTCTTTCTATGTTTCGTTATTTACTTGTTTAATGTTTGAAATTTGAAAATGATTTTAGATTCCTAAATTTGTGTATTGTTTGTATTCATTATTTGCCATTTTCATTACGATGATTGTAAATGGAATCGCTGTGTTTTATTGTAAGCCACTGGCTTTTTAATGCAATTTTCCAGGCAAATGTTATTATTATATCTTTATATTGTATGAAATTCGATGAATTGAACTGAACTAAGCTGAACTTAAACGACTAATAACATTAAAAATAAACTATGTGATAAGTTCGCGCTAAAACACTTTCATGCTCTCCAGATATTTTCTAGCAACCTTAAATTATCACTTCAAGATATCTCAGTTTTCCTTTTAAATACAGAAGATGTGAAATAACCGGAAAGAAATGTATATTTGTTAATCATATAGAACAAACTAATGACATGTAGGATTAAAGTCTTTTGAATTGACACATACTGCTACATTATCATGATAATGATATTTTCAAGGAGACATGAAACAAGGAAGTATACAAAAAACATAAATTATCATGTGGTGATTTGTCATTTCAAGGTTCATGAACCCGGTGACTACAACACTCTTTGATTCCAGTAGACGCAATCCGTGAACTACGAAATTCCGGTGGGCAGTAGGTTAACTGGCTGTATCAACATGGTCAGGGAAATCAATATTCCTCTTCCTTATTTCTGGAGGAAATAAAAATCAAATGAAATAATACAATTAGTAAATGTATTTCCTGAGACTATCCTCTCAAAATGCATTCTCTTATCAAACTCTCTCAACTTCAACATTTCAGGAAAGTTATTTTCCCTTGATTAACATCACATTACTAAGGTGTCAATATGATTTTTAAGTATAGTCTAATAATATGACTGTAGAAGATCAGAACAATGTAATAAATCTTTCAATTGATTCTTTAGAGAGCAATGGTAAAGCAGTCACGGAATACTTTAAGGTTGTATTTTTTCGAGAAAACCTAAACAATTTTTTTTTAAATTAGAAATGATAGGGCTTCATTTACCTTCTTCAATGATTTCAGCACAAAGGCCCATGTCATTCTCCCGGAATATAAGCCGCAGTTTCAGCGCGCTCGTTCTACCTGTGCCATGCTTGTTAACAAATTGATGAAGTAAGCTCTCGTACGCCGACTGAGGATTGAGTTGAACAAAACTCAAAATTTGAGCGTTGTCACCCTGCGTAGCACTGAACCCCAGATAAACGCTTAGCTGTGCTGGGGTGATGCCGTTAATTCTTGAGGATATCTGTATCAGTAGCCCGTCATTTAGAATGTTTTCATCAGTAAATCCAGCCATTGCTTCCTATTAAGCGAATAGGGTAAACAAAATAAAAATAGAAAATCTCTCGCAAGAATATTTCCATCTGAATATTATGTGTATAATCATAGAACAACACTGTACTGTTCAATCTATGAGGAAGTACACATAGTTGATGTAGTGTGTTGATTGAGTGGAAAGATATCAGAAAGAAACTGAAACCAATATCCTCGATTTAGCTCAAGCTGCAATCATAAATATAAATCGTTCAGTCACGAACTCCATGACTTTTACAAGCCGATCGCCTGTCTGATTATCAAGTTATTTATGATTGGAAATCGCTTTTTTTTTTTTCTTTTTTTTTCCTAACGGTTTTATTATACAGTTTACTGGGGAAAATGATTATGGTAAAACCGGTCACTCAAAGATTATTACTTTTGTGAGGCACTTCATGATCATTTTGAAGAGCAATTCTGTTTAGGGCTTCAATATTACACCATATCACAGACACTGATAAAATGTAGGGCAATGTATCTCAGATTTAACGTGTGTGTATTGGGTTTTTACAGACGTGTATCAATCAGATATGATTATTTACGTCTGGGGAACAACCTTTAAACGTCATCATCCGAAAGACGTGACTCAGTTTAGAACCTGCGTCCTCGGCTGAACAACATTTAACATTGTTAAACGATGCCTTTAAACACAAAGGCCCGAATTCACAAAGGAGGGTTGTCGACAAACCTCCTTTAGTGGGGTAGCTTAGTGACAAAT